GAGTCACCAAAGTGGAGGCAGGGCTGGTTGAGGCGAGGATGGGGCCAAATGAGTGGGCAGGGGCGGCCAGCGGTCCTGCGGAGAAGGGGGAGAGACTGTCAGGGTGTCTGTACCCAAATTAGGCCTACAGCGCCCCCCCCCTTAGCCTGCGTGGCCTGCGATGGGAACGGGGGTGCCTCACCTGCGGGCCGGGCCCAGCACTAGGAGCTGGAGGAAGGCGTGGGTCGGGGGCACTGGGCTGGCCTCCCGACCTGTCGAGGTCACAGTCACCGTCACCACGGAGTCTGGCGCGGCTGAGTCCGGGACCTCCAACCACAGGCGTCCCCAGGCGGACTCATTCAGTTCCAGGCGAACCCTGCCAAGTGGACACACACGCCTGGCTGAAGGCCCGGGCTCCGAAGAGCTGCGAGCCGAGGGTCCGAGGGTCCGAGGGTCCGAGCCAAGCGCCGGCAAGGAGGCGAGGCCAGGCGAGACTCTGAGCGCCCAGCGGAGGCCGCTGTAGGCGGGGCTTAAGGCACCAGACTCCCACACCCGGGAACCGAAAGGTGGGCCAGAACTGAGCAGGAGGGTTCGGGGGCTGTACACGGAGAGGTTGGAGGTGAGAGGGAAGCTGGGGCTGACAGATGGCCTAAGGTCGAGATCCTGAGGGCCCGAGAAGCTGGCGAGCCGCCGAGCTGCGGAGCAGGGCGGAGGGCGGGTCAGGGCAGGAGCCGCGGCACCTCTCTCGGGGCCCCACCCGCACCTTCCCCTGGCGTCTCACCTCCCGAAGCACCGGGACCACGGTGCAGGGCTGGGGGGGCCGCTCGGTGCAGGCCCCGCCCCTCTCCGTCCGGCCGACCAGCTCCAGAGAGAAGCGTCCCGCGGTGGACAGAAGCGCGGGCGGGAGCGAGGCCGCGAGGACACCTCGCTGCCGCGGTCCCGTGGGCTCCAGAGGCACCCGGCCCCGCTCGGCACCCTCCGGGACCCCTCGAAGGACGACGTGGGAGAAATGCGGCCGAGCATCTCCGGGGTTGCCTCTGGAGCCCAGCCCTGTCACCTCTACCAGCAGCTGGCTCTGGAGGCCTGGGACAGGGGACCAGAGGGGAGAACGATGGTCCGCAGGAGAGTCGGAGACAGGGAGAAAAAAACAAATGGCTTTTGGAATAGGGGTTACCCCTGGGGAGTATGGATGGAGAAAAGGGGCTACCTCTGAGGGATATTGTTGGGCAGGGTCAGTAAAGATTCTGGGATGCTGGAAATGTTCTAAATCTTGAACGGAGGGATGGTTACATGGGTGCATTATATGCAATCCATCCAGTGCGTATTTCAGTTTAATGCACTTCATTATATATAACTCAATAAAAATTTAAATATATAATTATATATATAATATATAATGGGGGCACCTGGGTGGCTCAGTTAAGCGTCTGCCTTTGGCTCAGGTCATGATCCCGGGGTCCTGGGATCAAGCCTTGCATCGGGCTCCTTGCTCAGCGGGGAGCCTGCTTCTCCCTCTCCCTCTGCCCCTCCCCGCCACTTGTGCTCTCGCTCGTGCTCTCTCTCGAATAAATAAATAAAATCTTTAAAAAAATAATAATGGACAAGTTGGGGCAGGGGGATAGATACACCTGCAACTGGCTGAGTCAGGGGGTAGAGGCCAGGGTGGGGGCCATCCTCCATGGGAATCTGAAAGTAGAAGAGGAAGTCCAGGGATGTCTGAGCTGAGGAGGGCCAAGGCAATCAGAGACCTTCTTGCGATGAATGTGACTGCTAGTGTTCTCCGAGCTCTGCAGCCTTCCCTTCCCTTCCCTTCCCAGGAATATCTCCCTCCTTACCTTGCACTCTCACCCTGGGCGCGTCCTCAGCTGTGACCCAGATCTCCCAGGTCCCTGTCTGTGGGGGGTCATTCACGGTAACTATGCAGAACTGCCCAAAGCGGCGCGTGTGACCTAGAGGCCCCTCGCCTTCCTCCTGGCCCTGGGAGACCCCTGATGGGAGTGGGGGATTCATGGGACAATTCCCGTCCTTTAGGATGTCACCCTTCATTCTCCTCCCTTCTTCCCTCCGCCTCGAGACACACACGGGGAAGTATGCCTGCAGGGTTCCTGATCTAGAAGCTGCTGACCTCCCTGTGGATCTGAACTGTGACCCTCTGGAGCAGCATATCCACACTGAACACAAGTGGCCTCCCAGACACCACAACAGGAGGTTCCAGGGGAAGGGTAACCTTGAAGGATGGGCAGAAGCACAAAATGGGGGAGAAGATAAGGCAGTGAATGAGGTGTAGGAACAAAGGCAGGAGAAGGGTGGAGACAGAAGAAAACTAAGTCACATGTGGAGAAGGGAAGCCCGTGATAGAGGGGGGCAGAGGACCAGGGAGGGAATTACGGTCAACAACAAAGTGGAGGCAAGGGATTGAGGGTGAGGCCATCGCTTCTTGTCCCTCCTTAAAAGATGGCAGGACTTCCTGTGGTAGCCCTGAGGACAGACTGCTGGAGGCCAAGGCTGGGGGACAGGGGCAGTACCCACCAGGAAGGAGCAATGTGGAAGGTGGGCAGCCGTGGATCTCAGAGGCAGAGAAACTTCCTTTCCCACCCTTCTGACTGCGGTGGCAACACGGCAGTGTTAAACCATTAACCTATGAGAACGGGAAAGGCCGTGTCATCACCCACACCCTTAGTTCTCAGCTGAAAACATTAGTCCTTCTGGGCGCCCACACTTACTCACCACGTCAGCCATGCTGTCCCCAACAATGGCGGCCACATCCTGAATGTGCTGGTCTTTGGTGAAGATGACCTCTCCTCCTGAGGTCAGGGCCACTGCTTCGTATGGCTCAAAACGCAGAGGGGACAAGACCTCACGCCGAGCTCGGCCCTGAACCCTCGATGGGTCTTCAGTCACTAGGAATGTCACCTGTGCCCAGAAGAGAGGCCAGGTCTTGAGTATTCCCAGTGCCGTCTACCACTGTGAACGGGGGTCTCCTGTGCCCAGGCGCGCTACAGAGCTGATGACCAGTGGCAAGTTCCCTGTCTGCCCTCTGACTGCCACTGCAGGGTCTCCCAGTGACACAACCCCTAGGCCTTCACTTAGTAGTTGCCACTCCCTTGTAACTGTCACCATATGTCACCCACATGGTGGATTGTTGGCAGCTAGATCTCCAGTTCTTCAAGTGGTTTGTTGGCGACAGGTTCAAATATGAATTCCGCACAAATAAGGGATCCAGAAACGTTACACTCATTGTCTGCTTCTCCCACCCCACGCCAAGGCTGGTGCGGCCACCAGAGTGTGGGGTGAGGCTCATTAGGAGGTTGTCGCCATAGGGTTCCCCGCATCCCTGGGTGGCTACAGCGGGTCTCCCATCAGCTGTGCTCACTCTGCAGTGCCACTCCTGAGTCAAGGATTCCACCTGGCTGGCGAGCATGGCGTCCTTGGGGGAGGCGTCTGTGAAGACAAAGCTGTCTGAGAGTGGAGGGGTGTGCAGCAGAACCGGCTGGCAGAGAGGGGGAGCGCTGGTATTAAAAATGGCAGCGGCGGGGGAATGGGTAGAACCAGGGAGGACAGAACTGAAGGGAATAGAACCCTGGAACCCTGGAGGGAAGCTAGGGGGACTAAGCTCTGAGGGCGGGGTGGGAGGTGGAGGTCCCAGGAAGACTCTAGTTCCCCTTGGTGGTGGGACCTGGAAAGGGGAGGGAGAAGAAGGGAGGGGGAGGGCAGACCTCCAGGGCTGACAGGCACATGTCAGGCTCATCTCCACCCCCAAGGCATGGATCTCATTGAGTTGTTGCCAGAAGCTGTCAGGGTCACTGGTTGTAAAGACAGGGCCAAACCCTGGGGAGGCAGAAGGGAGGTTGAGGTGAGTGAGGAGAGGGATCCCCTATCCCTACCCAGGACCACCTCCCCAGTCAAGAGGCCTGCTGTGCTCCAGGGGCAAACAAGTATGGAAATAACAATATTCCCTTATATTTATATGTGCGGGGCAGGGCAAGGGCTAGTTACCTTGCGGGGAAGTGGACCTCATTTCCTTAACAGAGTGGCATCTCCTGTGGTCCTGAGCGGGCCTTTCCTGGGTGTGTGTGTAAGTATGAAAAAGACCTGGGCCTCAGTTTCCTCACCAGAAAAGTCAGAAAAATAACAGTACTTACCTCGGAGTGTCATTAGGACTAAATGAGCTGATTTTGTAAACCTTAGAATAGTGCTTTGACCCATAATAAGTGCTAAATTCTTAAATATTCAAAACTTCATCAAATGTGTGTTAAGCCCCTATTAAATGCCAGCTACTGTGAGATTCATGCAGGTAAATCAGACTCAACTCCTGCCCATAGGGAGTTCTCAGTCCTATGGGTATTTGATGGTCATTTCAACCCTAGGAGATAGGCAGGATAAGACAAGTACTGACCCACTTTATGGATGATGAAATTGAGGCAAAAAAGGCTAAATGATCAGCCTAAGGATGCACAGTGACTGGTCGACCCAGGTCAGATGGTCTGACTTCCAGTTCAGTGGGGGAAGGAAGTACATGATAACCAACTGTCTCAGAGGCTTCACGGGGGCCTGCACCCACCAACCCCCGTCCTCATCCCAACATCCACCTACAGGAAATGGAGAGAATTGAGAATGGCTGATTAGCATGGAAGCCTAAGCACAGATCATGATTAACCTCATATGGAAAGTGCTACCATTTTGGAAACAGAAGTGGCCGATTGTTTCCTATATGCACGCGGGTACACATAAAGACTCAACCACAGGAAGTGTTACCATTTTGTTAAGGAAGTGGAGCCACGAGGCCCACTTCCCCACCAGTGGCATTTACCCCTTGCCCTGGACTTTCCTTCCTTCCACTATCCTCCCCAGACCACAGTTACCTGGATCTTGGAAAGGCACCAGGACGTAGTGGACAGGCTCCATGGGGCAGCCCCGTCGCTGTTCCACAATGTGGCGAGCCTGGATTTTGGCAGCATTGATCTCCTCACCCATACTGCCCGTGGTGTCCAGGACAAAGCTCAGGCTGGAGGCCGGGCTGATGTCCAGCAGCCTGGAGGGCAGGCCGAAGACACCGGGAAGAGTCTGCACATTTGTCCCCAGCCCCTGTTTACTCAGCTCCCCCAGGAGCACATGCCCATTAAGGAGCGCATCTCGCAGAGGCCACTCACCCAGAGAAACCCCTGTCTCCCAGGTGGTTTCTCAGGAGACTGAAGGCTGGATGGAGGCCAGAAGGGCCAGTTTTGCTGCCTGGAGGTGCAGCATGTGGTGGGGAGAGAAGCCCGGGGCTGTGCTCTCTTTGTTGATTGCTGCCCTGTGGTGGCTGGGAGCTGCTCCGGTCAAAACGGCCCCATGGCTACATTTCCCTGGGTTGCGGGAAGAGATCTGGGCAAGCCACTGCCTCCTAAGAGAACTAGGCCCTCTTTGACCTGGTCTGACCTCTCAGTCTTCAGCAAAGGACCAGCAGGAAAGATGATGGTTTGTGGAGGGCAAACTGGAGTGAATCCTGAGGGGTCAGTGATCACAGTACACGGTGCATCCCCTAATCCCCCCAGTCAACCCCCAAAAGCTGCTGTTGGGTAATGGAGAAGTCTCAACAGCTGAGTAAGAAGCTCTCCACCCTCAGCAACAATCATGGCCTCCTCAGTGGGCCTCCATCCACCCACCCCATTCCCAACGTCCTCGCCTTCTTCCAGGAAGTGATGCCGTAGGAAATGGGACAAGGGCCTACAGTTCTGAAATCCCTAAGGAGAGGGCCAGGGGAAAGGAAGGGCCTTTCTCCCCTTACTTCTGCCTGGTACCTGGAGGTTTGGAGGGATGAGTTCCAAAGTAGCCAGACGTGAGGAGTGTAAAGCCCAGCAAATTCCCAGGGCAGCTCAACTCTCACAATCAGAGCAGGCAGGATCGCCTACTGGGAAGAGAGGACAGCAGTCTAGAGCCCAAGATTCTGCCACCACTGACCTTTATCCCTGTCCATCCAAACTTTGGCTTTCTCCCCAGCTGGCCAAAGCCCATATGTACTCTTCTAGGCTTTCTGAACAAAAACCTGGACATTGTCTGGTGATGAGACAGTATTTGAGACGGGGACTGTGCTAGGAAACCCAGAAGCGTGGGGAGCAGTACTGCAGGGATAGAGCCCTCTGTGAGCTGTGGACAGGAAGCCAACTTGTAGTGGGCAGGAGGCAGCTTCCGGTCATAGTGCAGGTGGAAGGAAGAGGGGACTGTGAGGGAGAGCCCTGAATGCTTCATGCCATGTTGGGGGAGGAAGCCACATGAAAGAGAACTCAGTGGAGGTCTGCAGACCTTGGTCCTGGCTCTGTCCTCCCCCTGTGACCTTGGGGAAACTACCTAAATGACCTGGCCTTTGGCTGGGCTGGGGGACCTCACAGGTCATTCCAGAGAAGAAGCAATGTCACATCCTATGCGGCCTGAGGATGTGACACAGTGGCTGGGTAGGGTGACAGGATGCGGCTCTATGGGATTCCCCCAGCTCCAGGGTCATGGCCGTACCTCGTGCCAGGCTCCCGAGCTCCTGCCTCAGCCAGAGGAGCTGAGGGTGTGGCTGCTGCCGCCCCAGGTCCACCCAGTTGCTGTGACTGTCGAAATCCTCGCGGGGAGGGGACAGAAGGGGACTGTCACCACAATCTCCAGCCCTTACTCCCACTCCTTTGAGTTCCCCATCTGGAAAGCCCTTTGAGTTCCCCATCTGGAAAGCCTCCTCTTACCCCAAGTGCGCTCCACGGGCTCTGCCCGTTGCCCAGGAGGGGGCTTTCCCCAAGTGGGAGTCTCCCAGTGTTTCCTCCCCATCTCACTCAGAGCCCAAAGGCCCACCTCAGACCTCCCGCCTCCCTCTTCTCTCCAGCCACAAGGCCTCCTGCTCTTCCCACCAGACCTAGGGACCTGGGGACCAGCCTCAGGGCTTTGGCAAGCAGCCCCCATCCCTTCTTGATCAGGGGGAGGTGTGATCAAGGAGGCACCGTGAGGAAGCTTCTATCTGGGCGATGGGAAGACCCTGAGTGAAGCCCTCCCCCTCAATGACCGTTTCAGGCTGTTCTCACCTGCAAAGCATGAAGCGCAGCGCCGAGGCACTGGCGGGCCAGGGTGTGCTCCAGGGCTCTGGCCGCCCCCATGGCCGCCCGGAGAGTCCCCGCCGGGAGCATGCGGCCCTGGCCCAGCCGCTCGGCATTGAAGTGCAGGTCAGGGTCGTTCCCAGATGTTGGCAGGAAGTCCTGGGCTGCGTTGGCCCGAGACACCTCACCTAAGGCTGCTCGGAACTGCCGAGAAGGAAACCCAGGTCCCAAGTAGGCAGCAAAGGGGCGCCTGGGCGGCTCAGTCGTTGAGCGTCTGCCTTCGGCTCAGGTCATGACCCCAGGGTCCTGGGATCGAGTCCCGCATCGGGCTCCCTGTTCTGTGGGAAGCCTGCTTCTCCCTCTCCCACTCCCCCGGTTTGTGTTCCCTCTCTCGCTGTGTCTCTGTCAAATAAATAAATAAAATCTTAAAAAAAAAAAAAGAAGTAGGCAGCAAAGAGGTCGTTGGTGAGGAGAGTGCGGCCCTGGAGAGAGTGGGTTTGGGGACAGGGCCCCTGGGATTGGACTATTGCCCACATTTCCTCAGCAGCTGTCACTCGGGTCAGGTGTGCAAGGAATTGAGAGTGCTGGGCCCTACGAGGGAGCTGGGCCCTACGAAGGCGGGGCAATTCTGGACCTTTCTAAGGAGTGGGGGCTCTTGATTTCAGGACCAGGACTCTTGGGTATTGTCAGGCGATAGACGTGGGGAGGTGCGGAAGAGAGGATGTCCTTTCTCTTGGCAAGCAGGGCCCTCAGGGAGTAGAAGTCCCAGGGAATTGGGGAATCCAACTGGGATGTGACAGGGCCTGGGGACGCTCACCAGGAAGTCCTCAAGACGAACTGGGGGGCTGCCCTGAGGGCGGCTGCTCCGGGAAAAGCCGCAGGGTGACACAGAGGGCCGCTTCCTCCATCAGGTGCTGGTGGGTGACGGAGCCCAGGGCGGCCAGGAGGCTCCAGATGTTGGGGAAGAAGGAAGTTGCGGGAGGCAGCGGCAGCCGAGGGACTCAGGTGGGAGAGGGGACCATCTGCGGGGAGCATGGCTGGGACATGGACCTGGGGGACAGAAGGCACTCAAGAGCAGGAAGCAGCTGCCGAGTCCTGGTCAGGCCCAACAGTTTGTCTCCCTGGGCACTTGCGTTTATCTTAGGCATCCGACGGGTCCCCAGCTGGTTTCCCCACCCTCTTTCCTCAGTCGCCCAGATTACCTGAGGGCCTTATCAGGCTAATAGGGCCCGGCACCTGCAGGAGAGGGGCTGAGGCTCCTCCGCTAGGACCCCCCTCCCCACCACCAGGCTGTCACCCCTCCCACACCCCCACGCACACAAAGTCTTGAGTCCCCTCTCTAGGCCTGTCCCCTACCTGGTTGCTGGGTCTCCGGCAGGGCCGCTGGGGCGTGGTGTCACAGGGCACTTAAGTCAGAGTTATACTTAACCTAAGCGGGACCCAGCGGAGGGGGAGGGAGGCCTGGGCGGGGGCGGCAGGTGGGGCAGCCCCCGGCCCTTCTACTCATGCCCGCCCAAGGCCACAGGCAGCAGCCGGCACCAGGGCGGGCGTCCCTCAGCCGGAGGGCACAGGTGAGTGGAGAAGAGCTGGCAGGAGGAAGGGAGTAAGCAACCTGACTCAGGCCTGGCTCAGTGCCAGGGACAGACCCAGACAGACGCACCTCTCTGCCCAGCCAGTGCCTCTGGCCTGGCCGGCAGCCCTCGCACTGCTCGTGCCCACTGTGTCCGAGGGCGCAGGCACCCAGGCCCTCAGTGCTCCCCCCCACCGCCCCAGCACGCACAAACAGCTGGTTTTGTGGCAAAATATTTTATTGCTGCCACCCCCATGGTGGACACTGGGGGTTATGAGGACCGGAGTCGGGTGTAATCACAGCATCTTCTGGAACAGCGCGATGGCCTCATCCACCTTCCTGAGCTCTGCTTCTGTCTGTTGGAGCTGGGGGTGGAGCAAGGGAGAGGGGGCAGTGGGTGGTGAGGACCCAGGCCCAAGAGAGGAGACAAATGCCAGGAGCGGGGGCACAGCCCATGCCCACGATGGCAGAGGGGTCCGAGTTGGAAAGATGGCTGAGGACCACAGGCAGGGAGTACTCTGGGGACTGTGTGAGCCTGGCCGGCCCGCTCCCCCCTAATTCTCACCGGCCTCCCCAGCAGCACCCGCCTTCTCTTCCAGCATCCCTGAGCTCCCAGGTCTTGCCTTCTGCTAGAGTGGTCAGTCCCCAAAAAACAAAGGGGCCTCAGAGCCAGCAGCCCCGCCCCCGGGTGGACGGTGGGGCACAGGGGTTCGGGACAGAGGCTCCTAGGCAGGCACAGGGCCCTCATTTGTAAAATGGCAGTGGTAATACCCCGGGCCCTGCGCGGGCTTCCAGGAGAACTCTGCTCATTTCTGTCTGCGTCCATGCGGTTCACCCCACTGCTCCCCGCTGGAGAGATCCCAGGTGAGCCCGCTGGGCTTCCTGAATGTAGGTGGTCCCCAGACCAGCTCCAGGCATGTGGGATGCCAAGTTCCGGGCACCGGGGCAGGCACGAGGGCTCTGGCTGGGAGGCAGGATACCTGGTTCTAGGTCTGCCTCCATCCTCACCTTGCTTGTGTGACCCTGGACTATGCCCCTGCTCCCGGCTGTTCCTCGTGTAAGGGGACGGATTACGCAGACCCCACCTGTTCAAGGGGCCCAGGCTACCTGCTGCCCCGTGACTGCCCAGGGCTGGGCAGCACGCAGCTGTGGGGATGGGGTCTGATGATGGAGGGAGCGCATGGGGAGGGAAGCGGAGAAGGAGTGCCCGCCCACCCCGCACACCTTGGCTCTGTCTGCCTCCTGGACGTCGAGGGGCACCTTGCTAGGGTAGCCCGCGGCGGCGCGGCGCTCCCGCAGACGCTGGGCCTGGCGCTGTGCCTCGCTGCGCTTGGCCTGCAGCTTGCCCAGCTCCCGCGCCGGGTCCACCAGCCCCTGCAGCTGCAGGTGGACGGAGCAGCGGTCAGAGGCCAGGGCCACGGCACAGCCCTGCGGCACAGGGGCCCCCAGGGCCAGGACGGCCACCACACCCGCACTGGCCAGCGCCTGCACGTAGCCTGACACCGCCGACCCCAGAGCGCCTGTGGCCTCGTCGGCCACCTCCAGGAAACCTGCGAGGCAAGGAGGGAGGAGAGATGTGGCTCCGAGGAGACGCGCCACGAGGCACCGCGCCAGACAATGGTCCCAGAGTGGACAGAGGAGACAGAGGGACGGGTGGGGGTGGGGGCCTGAGGCTCACAGTCAGGCCGGATCCGGGTGAGGTTGTAGTCCGCCCGCAGGGAACGCACAGCTCGCGTTATGCTTAGGGCCAGGTCCATGGCAGCTTCAGCCTCAGGGTCCTTCCAGGAACACTGCGGGGGGAGGAGGGGGTGAGGGCGGCTGGGGGGCAGGCCAGAGCCCCCACCTCCAGCCATACCCCGTACCTCTGAGGGCTCCGGATAGGGGGTAACACAGAGGCTAGGGGGAGCTTGCAGTGTCCGCCGGGGCAGCCTCTGGAACAGCTCCTCGGTCACGAAGGGCATGAAGGGTGACAGCAGCCGCAGGCCAACGTCCAGGCAGGTATAGAGGGTCTGGCGAGCACATTCGGCCACCACTTGGTCCACCCCATTCAGCACGGGCTTCAGGCACTCCTAGGGGACCGGGAAGCACAGGGCTCGGGTGGAAAAGGTCTAGCCTCCAGGCCTCCCTGTGCCTGGAGGACCGGGAAGGTGACAGGTTGGCCCAGGTCCCATGGCCAGCCACCGGCAAAGTGAGGCCCAGGGCTCTGCCGCACCCCCCCACCCCGGTCCGCTTCTCACCAGGTAGACATCACAGAGCTCATAGAGCCAGAAGCTGTACTGGGCAGTGGTGACAGCTGGGAAATCGTAGGCCTGGAAGCCTTGGTTGCTAAGCCTCACGGCCTCAGTCAGCCGGCTGCGGATCCAGCGGTCCACCAGGCTCTCGTGGCCTCCAGGCTTGGGAAGAAGGAGCGTATCAGCTAGGAGGTCCCATATGCCCAGGGGAAGGGAGGCAGAAGCCTCGGGGGGGGCAGGAACCACGGGCAGGCCTGCATTCCAGGAGCCTGATAGGTCCGAAGCCACCATCATGTGCTCAGTTTGGGGAGGAAAACGGAGAGGCCCTCCCCAATGCCCCCGGCTTTCACTGTAACTGTCTGTCCTGTGTCCACCCGTCCCCTCAGTTACATGAAGGCTCCTCCAGGGCCACCTGACTCCGTGGCTGGGATCCTGACAGCACGGGCCACGCCTGATGCCTGGTGGCCGGCGTGCAGCCTCTGTGTGGTGCTGCCCACTGCGCTGCCTAGCGGGTTCTCACCTCAGAGGTCGGTGAGGGCACAAAACCCTTCCCAAGGCCCCGGAGGGCAAACTTGGTGGCGTTCCAGAGCTTGTTGCAGAAGTGGCGGTAGCCCAATATCCGGTTCACGTCCAGGTTGATGTCACGACCTGGGCGGGAGCGAAGGGTGAATCCTTACCGTTCTCCCTCCCGACTCGTGCCCACCTTGGGGAAGGGGAAGGGGAAGGGACTTGGCTGAGAGGTTTGAGAGGCCATACCCTGGGACGTGTAGGCACAGAGTCCAAACCGGAGGGCGTCGGTGCCACACTCGGGAATCCCCGCTGGGAAGTCTGCCTTCTGTGGGGAGGAGTCAATGGGGGGGCGCCTTGAGGCAGCTGCACCTCCCTCGGCCCACACTCTAGCCCCAGAGCCCGCCCTCCGTACCTGCCCTTCTTTAGCCTTCTCCACTTCACTGGGATCCAGGTTGCTGCTCAGTAACTGGTCGTGGAGGCCCTGAGGGTGAGGTGGGAGCGGTCAGGGGGCCGTGGCCACAGCCCCACGGCCCTTCCCAGCCTGGCCCAGAGCAGAGCCCCACCTGCAGGGAGACTCCGTGGATGACGTCCAGGGGGTCGATGACATTGCCTAGAGACTTGCTCATCTTTCGGCCGTGGGCATCTCGCACGATGGCGTGGAGGTAGACCTGGCAGGGAAGGCCCACGACCATGTGTCTCCTCACCCAGACCCCAGTGCCTGCCCCGGGCCCTGCACCGAGTTGGCCCCATACCGAACCTCCGACCCCTCGGTGTCCCTGCCAGTCCACTCAGCACCTTCATGGGAATTAGAGGTACTCCCTCCTCCAGGAAGCCAGGGCACAGAATCACCGCGTGCAGCCCCGGCCGGCTTTCAGTCCCCACGAGCCCTCCCTGGCCAGGCTGTGCCCTGTGTCCCCATGCATGCTGAGCCCGAGCTGTAGCACGGGAAGGGGGTGAGATAGGGACTGTGGGATGGGTCTCGGCAGTCTTCACACCTCTCTGAAGGGCAGCTTGCCAGTGAGCTTCAGGCCAAGCATGACCATCCTGGCCACCCAGAAGAAGAGGATGTCATGGCCCGTCTCCAGCAGCGTCCCCGGGTAGAACACACTCAGATCTTCTGACTGGGGGCAGAGCAGGGCATGAGGGGGGGCCAAGCACCCACCTCCCAGATCCCCAGCCCACCCTGAGCTGGTCCCTCAGGAACATACCTGGTTGGGCCAGCCGAAGATGGAGAAGGGGAAGAGGCCAGAAGAAAACCAGGTGTCCAGTACATCCTCATCTGAGGGAGGCCAAGGTCAGACGTCAGAGGAGGGAGAGAGGAGGATCAGAGCCCCGGCTCTGCCCTCCACCCCCCAGACCCTGCCTTGCCTTGCTGGAGACTGATCTTGTCAGGGGACACTCCAAATTCCTTGGCTGCCTTCTCCCGGGCCTCGGCCTCGCTGCGCCCACTCACCCAGTACCGCCCATCTGGGTCCTGCAGGCAGAGTGAGTGCCCAGGGGGCGCCTCGGCCTTGCTCCGCCCCCTCCCGCCAGCGAGGACCCAAGGAAACCACAGCTCCTGGAGATGGGCCAGTGTCCAGCTCCAGCCCAGGTCTCACCTGCCCCGGGGGCACGGCGGGGTCACTGACTGTGACGAAGTAGGCTGGGATGCGATGGCCCCACCACAGCTGCCGGGAGATGCACCAGTCCCTGCGAGGGGGGCGGGGGGGAATCAGGCAGGGGAGGGAGGTGCCCTGGCCTGTGCCCTGCCTGGCCTCTCAGCCAATGCCCCTCCCCACACCGAGGGGCCGACGCACCGGATGTTGTCCATCCAGGCATGCCACGTCCGCTGATGGGC